ACAATTCACACTTACAGATAAACATTACTTCAACCAAATGAAACCAATTTTACGAGCAATGAAGTATAGCGGGATACTTCCTATTACCATACCAAAGTCAGGTAAGTGATACTTGTGTAATTCTAAATCATTATTGTGTAAGAAAAGCTGTACTTACACATATAATTCGCTACAATTTATTATGTTTTCAGAGGAGTAAGAATAATCGAACCCGGGCCTGGACGTCGTGCATGTATCAATGTTAGTAGTTCGAATGCGATCGAAAGTCACACGATTTGGGTTAAATATTTTTTGATGGTTGCATTCAAATACAATTCGATTAAAATAATAAACATATAATGTCGCCGTGACTATGGAGTAGTCCTCGCAGATCACGTCATATTGTAACTTGCTCGAACCTGTCAATCAGTTGTTTTCCAAAGGTCGAAATTCAAGGATGAATTTTTGACAGGAGCAATGACTGTTCAATGTCGAACAATACGTGGCTTCTCGTTCCTACTAAACTTTCCAGAATGAGTTTAGGAATACATTTTCGTGTGCTCCTGTACCAAACAAATCGACATATCTCGTCTGGTAAAACGTTTTCGTAACTGCAGAAGCTCTTCACCGGTTTGCATCAAACATGAGGAAAATAGTGAAAGCATGCTTCACTGAATGTGGTGGATTTTCGCCGTACAATTTAACATTGTCTTTGTTTTCTGATTTCAGTGTTATATGTCTATATTTATTACAAATACAACACTTGTCAGGAATGTTTTGCGTGCCTTTTCAAGCACTCTGTAGCTGTGCTAGTTTTGGAACTATTCTGTTCTAATATTCAATTTTTATTGATTTATTGCGTGCTTTTCCTTCAACAACCGCAGGTACACCAACATTTCGCGTGTTGTCTTTGGTCATGGCCTACTCAGTGTGCATTCATATTTGGGTATTAATAATGGCGTACTTTAACGCTTGTGACATCCTGTTGAAATTACTTGAGAGGAGAGGCGACTTCCTTACACACATCTTCAGTGCTCTGTATATGAATGCACTGGTTTTCTCCGGATGTCTGCCTGTTCTTATGTGGCTTGACTGCCATAAATTTGTTACGTATATGGACGAATGGATTCGGTTTCAGGTAACTTACACTTACGTTAGTCTAATTATTCTAAAAGCATAATTTTCATGACAATTACAATTAAAAAACCAATAATGATAAGAGGTGAGATTACGTAGGATACCTAAAATATAGAAATCAGGATAACAAACTGGATGAAAAATCAAGTTATATGGAAGTGTGGAGTGGATGCATCTATCTCAGGATAGAGACCGGTGGCGGGCTGTTTTGAGCACGTAACGAAACTTGGAGTTTCATTTAAGACAGGGAATTTCTTAGCCATCTGGGTTTCTCAATTTAAAATATCCTCGTTTGTGTTAGTTATGTAAAAATGTCAGTCAAAACGTCTTTTCGAACTCTAATGCTCTTTAACATGTCACAAAAAGCCAGCTACTGGACCCGGTCTTATGGAGATGAATCCGGTACACACGCAATTTCTATAACCTTCATCTTAATTTCATTTCCCATTTACGTTCAGATGTACCAAGTGTTCTCTTTGTCCAGGATTCTCCCGCCAAAATTTTGACTGATATAATCTTGGAAAGTCGACTCAGCCAAAGATACCAAAACGCGATACGAAATCGCAGATACATGGCGGCCCAAATTTTAATTCTTGGCGTGCAAAACATGGACTGACACAGAATCAATGTATGTTGCAGGTCCTGTTTCTGAGAGTTACTGGAGATGATCTGAGTCTTTCGCTAAAGAGACAGTGTTTTGTTTACTCTTTATATGTGTCCTTCATGACGGTTGTGGCATTGGGATTAAACATCCACGAGCAATATTTCCCTCTGTGGAGAATGCCCATCTTCTATATAATGTTGCTGCAGCTGAACTTATTATCCACGTTCCGGGGTGTGACATTCAGTGCCCTTAAAATTACCAGCTGCACTCTTGCCAGACGTTTTAAGGTAATTGGTACAACAACAGTATTGTTATCATTATGTGTTGAACGTCCTAGCAGAGTATGAGATTTCATGTTCTCACAGCGGTGAAGATGTTGATTTATATATAATTTATTTTTTAGATTGTAACACCATACGAACTTGTAGATGGTTACCAATATTTCGGCATCACAATCCGGAATACAGTGATCGTTATTCTTGAAATATTATCCGTAACCAGTCCATCTTTATGGCCGTGTTAGAAATTACCGACGTAATGGAACTTAAAATTCCATTTAGTTAATATAATTAACTTTAATTGGTTTTGTGTGTTGAGTCATTTGGGTTTGTTCATATACATGAAATTTATTGATAATCAGAACGTTTCAAATTAGCAACCACCACAAGCTTTAACTTTTCATCTTGTGTCGCATTTTTGAATTGAATTAGTGAGCCCTCGAAAAAGTTGTTTCGAAGACCAAGCATATTTATTAAATATATTGGTGTATTAGCCCTAGAGAGGGCGTGTTTTTAAGACTTAACATTTTTAGTAACACTAATTTATTTCAATATAAATATATACTGTCACGTGTTGCTGTGAGAGCAGCATAACAATGTCAGTTTTCTCAAATAACATTTTTTCTCTAGATTTAGATTCAAAAGACGGGACATTCAGGTAAGAATGCCGTTGAACAACTTGACACCGGAAAACAAATGAAATACTTGATTTCCTCACATTTACAGCATACGTCGATGCAACACAAAATAATATTGACAATGTGGAAGATAAAACTCAAAGCTACATTCAGCTCGTTAACAAACGTCACTGGACTGCGGATGTTTCAAAATCTAGAAATACATAATCTATTTCGAATACCACATCTTCATATTTTGGTGTCCATTTTTAATTCCTTTTTGTATTAATTTCATAAGATAATTCCGTCGTCCAATAAAAACAACTGCAAAGCTTGAATAAATATTTTTTCTACCTGTTCATTCCATTTCTGTTTAGAGTGTAACTTTGGCTTCATTTCGCCGCCATGTATTCTGTCTCTGCATCGTACAAACTTCTTGTAATGTTAGCTCTCAGAAACATATTACATCTGTGTATGTTTCGGCCCGAAAAAATTAACGTTAGATATCTTACTCTACACAGCAGAGTTATACTTGAGACGGTAGTAGTTTATCACCTAGTCTGGAACATTCTGGCCTCTCATAGAACCAAATTTTTATTTCCGTAAAGGCCAAAATAAGAATTTATTAATAACGTGAGCCAGTTGAATCCATTCCACAGCCTCAATCCTTAATTTAAAATGCATTTAAAACATCATAAAACCAATATCTTAAGTAATGATACATCCCGTAATGGGTTTCCTACATATGTTTGTAAACATTTAACATCTATCTCTTTCCTTCTATATACCTCACCCATCTCATTATACATATATAATTTTCCTGAATAATTTCAATTCACTGTTGACTGATTGATACAAAACTTGCAGGTGTGTTCATAAAACTGGACACGTATCGATACAGCGGATATCAGTATAACTACCATAACATACAGTGCGATCCACGTGTCGTGTATTACACTAAGAACTCATTAACGAGTTTTCTTCTAATCATCCGGTTGATTATCAACTACCCGATTATCATTTATTATAATGCTTGAACTTATAATTTTTGTTGGAGACAAGGTGTATCACACGCGATTCTTCTAGTAAGGATGAAGATTTTCCCATAGCAAAATGTGCATTGCAGTAATTGGAAAAAGGGACGTACAGCACATTATTATCTAGACCCCGCTTTTTCAATTATATTAATGATAAAACAGTCGATCAATATCAGTATGTTATTTTATCCCCATGAGGATATACATTTACAGCCATGTAAACAAAGTTCGTGGGCGTCAATATAATGTGTTCTGCCCCACTTGTTACGTAGGTTATAACACCTGTTGAAACACAAATGAAGAGCAAGTAGATTTGTGATGAGGAATACACGTATGGTCCAGTCAAAATACATCTCTTTTAATACAAATAACATATTATGGAAACCGTCAACAAACACAAAATGGTTATCAAAGGATGAAGAAAATTTTGAGAGCGATTTCTATCACAGTCAGTTTAAACCATTATTTCATCTGCTACGTCTACTGGGAGCGCTTCCAGTTGAAATACCAAAGACAGGTACGTAAATTGTGCCGATCTGATATCTCAGTTGTCAAAAGTAAGATGAAAGTACTTGGTATTAAAAATAAATATATCCATGCATTCACAAACTCACGGTAACCCCCAGACTTACATTGTATACCACCTACATTAAACACAATTTATTTTTCTTGAGATATGTGCAAAATATTTAATTATACAAGGATAAACTCATAATCTTTTAAATACATAGACCACCGCTGAAAATGAGATCATTTAACGAACATTGACACTGAGCTGACGTAAAGCTGGTGGCAGCGAATTGTTACTCGTTAATTACGTGGAAACCGAAGTATAAACGAATCGTTGTAATGAGCACGCAAACACAGAAAATTTCCCAGCGTTAAGGACTGCAAAAGTTCTCGTTCATAACCACGTCCGCAACATCCTGTAACTTGTCTTTGTCCTGAGAAAGATGAATGTAGTCATTCCGTTATTTTTTCACGTAAATACGTCTATAATTTAGAGTCAGTGTCATTCCGCAAAAAAGTGTGACGAAAAAGTGTGACGAAAATGTGTAAGATGGTTACCTAGGAAACTTCATCTGTTTATCAACAAATAAACAACAATGGTTACCTAGGAAACGTCATCTGTTTATCAACAAATCGACAATAATGGTTACCTAAGAAACATCTATTTACTCGGCATTTTTGTTACCTAGGAAACGTCATCTGTTTACTCGGCATTGTAGTTACCTATAAAACATTACATTACATTGCGGAGTCCAGTTGTAGCTACGAAGGCGAGCGGACGTGTTTCTACAGCTCAAGGAACAATGGGTGTCACCTTAGAAAGTTACAGGGCCAGAGTTGGCGCTTTTGCAGCCAGGAAAGCGAGGATTCACGCAGAAGGGAGCTGGAAAGTTGAGTTGGCAGGGCAACAGACGTGGTTCCTGGGTCTGGTAGTAGCGACTCTTCTGGTGATTGGAGGAGTGGAACTAAACCCGGGGCCGCCAACCGAACAGGACAAGATCGACCAGATATTATCCCATGTTAAAAGCCAAGCTTGGGAGACGAAAGCTATCAAGGAGCTTTTGGAGAAGCACAACCAGGAAATAGGTGACTTGAGGAATGGGACGAAGGACTTAGGACCGAAATTGGAGACGCTAAGCGCGTCAATAAATGAAGTGATCAGCGATTATAAGAAGATAACCCGGGTAGTGAAAGAG